ATTTTCACAAAGTATGAGGACTACAGTTGGCTTTAACCCTAGATTTTCTATATTACTCATTGTACACGTTTAAGGCACATTTTTCATTCGGACGAAATCTTCATCTTCAACCTCTTAACTCCCCTATAAAAATTCCCTAGAAATCTCCATTTCTCACATTTTCTCACATTTCCAACCATACAAACCATTCTCCAACCTTCTAGCTCAATATGGCTGAAAGATTTCACACTATTATTTGAGGTTCTAGGATATCTTTCTTGAGCATCAGTGGATCAGCTAGTAAGAAAGTTAACATCATAAAACAGGATCAAGTCCTCCATTAAAAGCCCCTACAATGGTTATCCTTCTTTTTCCCATCACTACTTTCTAGTTTATTCTTCTTTGATTTATGCAAGTTTGAGGGAGATTATTGTATTTCAAGCTCCAATATGAGAGTTGCTTATTTTATAATCAGAGTATTTGTGAAGGATAGTAAAGGGCACATTTATTGTGTTTATTATTAACTCATAATGCATTTTATATAAATGTGCTTCTCAAATGGTAAAATTTGATCTTTATATATTTTCTATCCATAAAAGGCAAAAGATGAAGGCAGCAAGGGCAATCTAAGGGTACCCAGAATGCACTCAAACTTTTCCTCCTGATGGGAGGGTTAAGTATACTTCATGAAAGTGCGCGACGCTTCTCAGCCATGTATCAGATGGTGCTATCACTAGTAGTTTAGCTGTGCTTCCTAATTGTTCATTTACTAATTTAAAGAAAAATACTTCAATCAATGAGTTGGCTCTTATCAGTGAAGTAGAATGTTTTACTCTTGAAGTTGAAAATAAAATATTTTTTGAGCACTTAGAGCTTTTTAGTGAAGCTAATTATCTCACTACGCTAAATAAGTCACCAACTCCTCATAAGGCTTAACTTGTAGTTATTTCTCTAGAGTCTCTTGAAGCTATTGATCTTGGGAATGATTCATCAAACACCAAATGTGTACATATCAACACCACTCTCTTAGCTAATGAAATAGCCTAGATGATCAACTTGCTTTAGGAATACAAAGATATTTTTGCTTGGAATTATGATTAAATGTTGAGGCTTAATCAAGCCTTGGTTGCATACTTTTTAAATGTTGATCCCAAAGCAAAACATATTGTGCAGCCAAATCGTGCTTTCTATCCCAAAGTCACTATTAGAATTAAAGAAGGAGTCAAGAAGCTCTTGGCTACAAGATTCATCAAGTTGACTAAGAAGCCCATTTGGGCAACAAGGCATGCTCGAAAAATAAGTTCTCTATGCTGAACATGGATGTAGTTAGGATAACACCGTTGGCTATGAAATGTATCTCTTATGAATGGTAGCTATGGATATAATCAAGTCAGCATATGCCCTAGCAACGCAAAGCAAATTACCATCCACACTTCTGCCAGTTATTTTTTTCATGTGATTATGTCTTTGGTTTTAAAAATATTGGGGCTACTTATCAAAGAATCATGGTAGTTATTTTTCATGATTTCATCCACATTTATACTGAGATTTACATTGATGATATAGTGGTGAAATCCAAAATAAGGCTGGGCCACTTTAACATTTTAAGGAAGGTCTTTAACCAATGCTGTTTGTATAAGCTAAAAATGAACTTAGCAAAGTGCACATTCGGCATCTCCGTTGGAAAGTTCCTTCGCTTTCTTGTGAATAAACATGGCATTAGTATGGATCTAACCAAGTCTAAGGCTATCCGAGCCGTGCAGCCTCCTATGAATCTTAAACCATTAAAGAGCTTCACTAGCAAAGTCTTATACATCTGCAGATTTATTCCTTTGCTAATGAAATTTTATCCATGTTTAACCCTTAGCTAAAGAAAGGGGTGGGCTTCACATGAATAAAAGAACATCAACGTGCCTTCTTACGTTTGCACAATTTTATGTTTAGATTGCCAGCCATATCTGTTCTTGTCCAATGGAGGCCACTCAAAGTTTACTTATCTACTTTTGACAAGGCTATGGGTGCTTTAGTTGCCGAAATTGATCAAGAAGGCAAAGAACAACTTGTTTATTATGTCAATCAAAATTGCAAAGATGCTGAGTCAAGGTATCCTCTTGTTGAAAAAATTTGTCTTGCATTGACTTATGCCTCTCAATGTTTTTGACACCATTTATTGGCTCACAAAGGACAACTCATCATGAAGTTTCAACCTGTTCAATACCTTTTAACTCGGCTTATGCTCATAGGCTGTCTAGTTAATTGGCTTATTCAATTATTCTTAGTATGATATTACATATATAAATCCTATTGTAATCGAGGGACAAACTATTACAGACTTACTATCCAAATTTTCTAGCACTGTCCAACATCCTATCTCTAACAAAGTTCCTGGTAGTGAGGTCACTCATACACAAGAAATTAAAGAAGAATGGACATTATATTTTGATGGGTCTTCCACGATTGAAGAGGCTAGAGCTGGCATTGTTCTCAGAGATGATAAAGGCCATGATACGGTATTTTCCTTCAAACTTGATTTTCCATGCATAAACAATATGGCTAAGTATGTAGCATATCTCATTGTCCTCATCATGGCTAGAGAATGAGGTTTACAACACTTTAAGATCATTGTGTTATCCTTGATTTTGATGATTTGAAAACCAAATGTGAATTGGAATATTTACTTCACTTATTTGTGAATTGGAATATTTGCTTAACTTATTTGTGAATTGGAATATTTTCTTAACTTATTTGTGAATTGAAATATTTATTTTACTAGTGAATTGGAACTTATTACTTGTGATATTGAATTGATTTGGAATATATTATGTGATTTATTTTTACTAATATTGAATTGATTTCCAAATATTAAGTTTTGAATATGTTTCCTTTTTGGTGGAAGTCCATTTAATTGTATAATTATATTTCTTTGTTATGTGTAATATCCCAAATTTTTTGAAATTCTAGCATTTAAGTTAAGGACTTGATTGTGAGGAAATATTATTCTGGGACTTAATAGCCAAAATATCTAAACTTGAGAGACTTAAAAGAGAAAATAATTGGATAAGGACGGGCTGATTTTTTTCCTTCTTTCTTTCTTCTTCAACCCGCGTGTTCTGCTCTTCTTCTTCCCTGCAGCAGGCAAGGAAACCCAGCCAAGCCGACAGCACTCCCTTGAGAAAACCGGTAAAAGCTTGGGTTTTTTTTCCTTCTTTTCTT